CTGGAGTGCCCAGGATGTGGTGTAATCTATCGTAGCCGTCAGTACTGGTTTGGAAATGAAGACCCAGTTAAGACTGTGGTCCGGACTGAGCTTCGCCATGCATGGCCTGGGGTGAGGTTTAAAGCTTGACTACTGACAATAAATCCAGCCACTTTTTTCCCAATAATTCATGAAAATCTGTGACATTGCTTAAAGAAACAGTTCTTTTGTGTTTGAGTAATATACCACACTTTCTATCGGTTTACCATCATAATAACCATGCAGTATGTTGGGAGAACACATGAAAAATTCGTAAATCACAAACCGAAGGCAAGTGATTTATAAACTATTCTAGTGTTCACAACATCTCAAGAGGGTTATTAAGGCAGTAAAGCAATAAAAAGTGTGGTCTATTCCTTCTAAAAACAAAACACAGTTCAATTTTCTGTGAGTTTTAACTGGACAAGTGCAACAAATGAAAGGTTTTTGATCAAAAAGTTCTGGTTATTTCATAAAGAAAATATTCTTTTGCACCTTTTATTGTAACACACTTTTTGTATTCAGCAAGTATTTGCAAAGCTGGATGGTGGCCATGCAGCCAGACGGTTTTTGGATCATATCAGCTATGTCACTGATGCAGTTAGCAGTCTTGGTACTCCATCCAGTCAGGCAGTGACCAACTGGATCACAGACAAAATAGCCCCAGATTATTGGGTGCCAAATTCTGAAATAACAGTAAGTTAAAAAAAAATTGGCTCAGTTTGCAGTTAACTGCCTCTACACTGCAGTCATACACGATGAAGTCAAGGGCTCAAAATGACAGCTTAAGAAACCTGTTACAGTGGCCAATTTACATTATCAACTCAGTTGATAAAACCAAATTATCACGTAATACCTCTCCATTGACTCAGTGCTACAGCTTCACGTATTAGAAACTTACCTCCTCTATTCATGCGTGCAAAGCCTCTCAGTTGGCAGTATCACAGCAGATTAAATGTCACTGTCTGCACTGTGCTGAAAATGTAGGATAGTATTAACTGCAGTTTCTTGTAAGCCTATTGATTTTTTTAGTGAGAGTAGTTTTTCTCAACTGTGCTTTGTACTTGTAGACTCCAAATAATTCTTGTTTTTTAATCAACCAAAACCAGGAAATATTAATTAGCAACTATTAAAATTTAATAGTTTCAAGCTTGCATCATTTTTACCAAATTTTGGTTGAACAAATTTAAAAGTCAAATTAGTCAAAAAATGTCTTAACTTCTTCTTCTGTCTTATCTCTTATCTTCTAGGCTTGTCAGGTATGCCGTCAAATATTCAGTGATGGGAAGACTAAGCACCACTGTCGTGCCTGTGGAGGTGGGGTCTGTGATGCATGTTCAACCAATAAGAAACCTGTACCAGAACGAGGCTGGGGTGAGGAACCAGTGAGAGTGTGTGACCGCTGTTTTGGAAAAACGTCAACCGTGGAGGCTCAGCCTCAACCCACATGTGACTTAAGGTAAGGTTGTCATTTGAAATGAATTAACAGTAAGACACTCATTCAGAACTTTAACTCCCAGAAGTGATTAACATGTAACTTCTCTCTGTGATATCCATACATTATCAAGCAAACAGGTAACAAGAGTAATCAAACTTGTCAGCCAGATGTTTTTATCTTGATCTACCACCAAACTCTTGTAATTAATTTAGAGAGAAATGTGTGGCAGCTAGAGGGGAGAATTAACAATTAGATCGTGAGTTAAAGGGTTGAGCTTGGTTGTGATTTCTCTTCAATATTAAATACATATTTTGTGCTCTTTTAAACAGTGATTTATCGGATGCTCTAGAAGAGGAGACTCCTCAAGAAATTGTGCACCCTGAAGATGACCACAGTCTGTATTCTGAAAACCCTTTTGGACCAGTAGCTGCCCGAAAAGTAACAGAGGTTGTTCAGTCCGCTGTGGGTGTTTTAAAAACAGCCATTGTTTACCCTAAGGGGTTCATCACTGATGCAGCAAGGCCAGGATACTGGGTACCAGACTCTCAAATTTTAGTCTGTAACTGTTGCCAAACCGAATTCAAGGGAAGTGATACCAAACATCATTGCCGAGCCTGTGGTATGGGTGTCTGTAGCAACTGTTCAGAAAGTAGGAGACCTGTGGCTTCAAGAGGTTGGGATCACCCAGTCAGAGTTTGTGACCAGTGTGCTGCTAAAAAAGGACAGCTTTAGGGTCAATTTGTTTTCAGTGAGAAGCCAGCCATGAGAAACTTCCAGCTTGTTGGCCCTTTATGATCAAGTTTTTATTAATACTGCAACCTTATGAGGTTTGAATCAAACTTACTACTTCATGGCCTTGCGTGGAGATGGAGAACATAATCATTGGCTGTGAGATCAAGTCCGATTTAAGTCCATGGCATCCTTTGCTTGAGGCCTTTTAAACCAAAACTAGAGTCTTTTGAGGGCTTTTTACTTAAAAGAAATAAAAACCAACAATAAGGTTATCACAGGGGCCTGGCAGACCTAAGAATAATAACCCAAAAAGGCAATGGACTCTTAAATTGAACACATGCAAACTGTCTGATATGCAGGAAAATGTTCACCATCAAGTCTTGATTGGTTTTAAGCTACTGCATTTGATTGATTGAGAGGGTTTCCAGAGTTTTATAGACCATTCATTAAGTGAAGCAAAGTAAAACCGGAGCAATGCTGGTTTAATTTGGATGCTAAAAATCCTACATTATCCTCTTCACCTTTGCTCTCTTAGGAGAGATCAAATGAGTAATTTCTCTGAGCAGAATCAATAAATCTATAAACCAAAAGGTGACGAGACTAAAGAAAATTATCAACCTTATGATAAAGCGATCTTTAATTTACTACCACCTTCTCAGAACTAACATTGAAAGAAATGTATAGCAGATGGTAAGAACTTACACTGCGATCCAGGGAGTATAAGGGTATATGGAACCTACAGTAGTAGGTTCTTAGAACGTTTTGAAAATGCTATGCCTGAATGTTGGAAGAGGCTACTGCTAATTTTACTGTACAATAGTTATACTTTTAAGAAATAATACTACAGGTGTGAGATATTATAATTCAAAATAACTAAATCCAACATTTCTCTCCTTGTAAAAAGTTTGGGTGAAATTTTTTCCATGTATATTTCCATGTTTGTATTTCTTGTGAGCATTTTCTTTAGTAGGTTTATTTCTAACTTTTGTTAGCTAAAATTGATGATAAGCATTTTTCAGGCTGTTCTGTGCTAAACTTTCTTTGGGATTTTTCCCTAGTTTCCAGGCTACTTCAATTTATACACGTTAAGCTACTGACAAAACAGTACATAGGACCATTGTGACTGCTCTCAAAAAATAAACTGGCTGAGAAATAGAAATCTTGTGAAAGGTAACATCAGCTCATCAGTAAAAGAGCTGTTCCTAGGAGTTTTCCTGTACTCTGCCTTCAACTCCCATTGGGTGGGATGCCAATCTATCTCAAGGTTAACCCTTTCCGCTCTAAAATCAGTATGCATATTCTCCAAACTGTTCCCTATGTTTTCCTAGGAACTGAGGAGGAGAATTGGTTTAACAATCCAGAGCTTTAGTCGGTGACCAATTCCTTGATTTGGGTGACCTTAATGTTTGATCCAGGGGTGATATTGTAAGAGAAATTAGATGCTTGTCACTCTCAGGAGTCAAAGGTTTAATAAGTGTCTGTTTAGCAATTTTTAATTGTTTAATTCTTGTAGAGGACAATGGATTCTGAGAATAGGAAGGGAAAGGCTTTGAGCTTTTCAGTGGATGGGAGGGATGTCAAAAACCAAAACAAAAGAAATTACAACAGCCTATTGGAATATAAGAAAACATCACATGGGGCCAATCCAGATTTCAAAGCTACCACAAGCAAACTGCCTAGGGGCTGAAATAGATGAGACATGTAATTGGTTCAGAGAGCAGTGCAGGTTTTTTAGCCGGAGAGAAATCAGGGGAGGAGAAAAGTCACCCGGCTTAACGTCAAAATTGGAAAATGTGTGCTGACCTCGTACTCAGTTATCGGCAAAACAAAATAATATGAGGGTTTGCAGCGATTTTTTCTTTCATTTTAGAGATCCTGAAGCACCATTTATTGGTCAGACAGGTGCAGTATCATAAATTTAGTTTGAAATGTTTATGTCTCCGGGAGAAAACTAAAGTGAAAAAAGTGAAAAGCGATAAAAAGAGAATTGTATGTGGCTTTCATTTCGAAGAATATCATTTTAAGAGAGAGTCTGACCGTGAGGGAAGGGAAAACGGTGACCAGCAACGGGAGATAAGGCTCTGAGAATCAGTGGGAGATTTGCAACGAAAGGGTAAACAAAGTGGGAGAGAGGAAAGAGCTTAGAAAAGAGGGCAGCTATGTAAAGCGGGCGTTGTGGTGGAGAGACAAGATTAGAAATGGAAGATTGTTACATCTAAGCAGCAAGTCCAAGGTAGTTATCAGATAAGTGCCCCGCCCGAACTTAGATGAGCTGATAAGTCCAGAACTGTGCAACTACATCTCACTGAAGGCAACGAAAGATAAAACTGCAACAAACTAGTCTATTTTATTGAAGTATTGTTTCAATTTCATTTAGGCCAGAAAGCGTAGCTGTTCCTTTCCTTTCAGGATTGTAGTGATACACATAACAATCCAAACGCAGTGGGAGAGATTTTGACCCGTCCACCTCTTCCTCAAAAGATACACCTTCTGAAATTTTAGGATAATATTGGAAAACATTATTGGCCAATAATAATTTCTACGACAAAGTAAGCGAGTTGGACACCTCTGTTATCAGAATATTTGAATGCTGTTTGACATGCCGTTTTACATGAGAGAATTTTCAACTTGGTATCTCAAATTTTCCTTTGTATGCTTAGTAGAAAGAATGGCTAGAGGTTGATCCAGGGTAAAAATCAAAGTTATACACGGACATAAGTCCCTATCCGAGGGGTTGCGCTTGAAACAGGAAAAATATGTACAGTGACTATTAGACATATAAGTTTTTTTTTTTGCGAAAACTGGGTCATATTTATTGTACCAAGATGTATCCCATGGCTTTGATGTGTTTGTCTCCATTATCTGGAGAAACATCGGCCTCGTTACCGCACGTGTTTGAATTGCCAGGTCTCCCTGCTGTGCCAAATCTGATCCTCGAGTTGCACGAGTCACACTCATCCTCGTTGTTGCTAACAATACCAATTCTGGCTTTAGAATATCCACTCCAACTACAAACGAAATTGAACCCTTCTTTGTTGCAGTTGTACTGTAATGAGCCTTGGGAACCAATCAACCCTTTCCACTTCTCACGACCCAGTGAGGTGGCGCGGTATTGGCCATCAGCAATCAGTGAGTGCAGAGAGTCAGCATGCTTGTGGATGACAATGAACCTGAGCTGTTGGTGGATCTTCGTACCGAGACAGATCTTGGAGAAGGATGCGTTCCAGTAGGTGGGTAGCTTTGATTCCTGTCTGTCGAACCCAGTCTCCCCTCCGGGAAGATTGTATCCTTGATTATGTATCCAGTAATGTTTATTATAATGAAATGTGGTCTGAAATATAGGAGCAATTCAACTTTTTTATTTACTCCGAATTAATGGATATTTGCTGTCGAATTCCTGTCGTGTATCTGCATTTATTGATCCATTACTCATTTGTTTTACCGTTGAATTGACCTTGGTGTTTACGGCATCGTGTCGTGAAGACTAAAGTCAGTTTTTTTTCCAACACGGACCTTGCACCGTAGATCAGTGCATACCTATCTAGTTATAAGGCGTTCTGATGTTTTTTAATTTGCCCGCCAATCAAGAGGCATTGATATGATAATAATTTATGAAGTGAATGAAGGATGATAGACGTTGCTATTCCTTAAAGAAATTCCTATCTCTTTTTAGATATAACAAAAACAAATTGGAGTTTGTTTGTGTCACGATAAAAGTAACCTGATCCCCCGATAAGACTCTGTGATATTCCTATGATCCATGATTCCTCCTCATTGGCAAGTTGATTGGCCCTAAATGTTCTATAGTCCTTTAAGAATCCTCCTCTACCTATCCCCCTCCCCCCGCTGTGTAGGGGATGAGCAATGACAGCTCTTTAAATCAGTGTGATATCTACATATCCATTAACTAGCGTGGAACTTCAACTCAGATACGATATATTCTTTGTTCCGAACAGCTTTTAACCGAATTATGATCTTAATGATGTGTATTTCTTATCTAGCTGTTACATGATATTAAAGAAAAATATGTTAGCATATATTTATGCATTCTTTTTCAACAGTCACTACACACAATAAGTCTTGAAGGAGGTCTGTTCTTCATGTATTACCTTCTCGATGAAACACAAGAGGCATACATAAGTTACATGCACGTTTTTAACTTGCAATGTTTTGATAGAGAGCGGGTTTATACAGGAAATGAATTTTTTAATGAAAGTATGGACCTTTCTGCCGTCAATCTTCATGACTGGCGTCCATCCTCCATCTCCACACCCAAAATTTCCCATGTGACAGAAAACGGACAATGGTTGGGAGTCAACAAGAAGGGTAACCACACCACTCACATTGAATCTTTTGAATCAAAATAAAAAAAAAAAAAAAAAATACAAAAAGTAATGAAAACAATGATGGTGAAATAAGGCTTGAGCTTATAAAAATAATTATTATAGCTAGAACGGTGGCAATGAAAATGACAATGGGAAAGAAAGTGAGTGATAACAATAATAATAATTCAACAAATAAGCTAATGAAAAGTTGATCCTTCAGACGTCAATAACTGCGGAACATAAACACCAGCCTTGATAACAAGAATGCTTGGTTATTTTTCCTGGAATCCAGCCGGTGTGCGAGGGCAAACGATATTTTTCACTTCTTCGGTGATGACAGTAATGCACTCTATTGAAATGAATCAAGGTTTAAAGGAGGACTTTCTTCGCACATAGAATATGGTTTGAAAATTGGGCTGTATTCGGTGAAGTGATGGGCTTAAACTGTATGCGGGCAAGCGCGAAATTTAATGTACTATGAAAATAATATCGAAAATCAAATCTACTTGCATGTCATGAATTTCTTTACACGAGGGAGCTCCTGCAAGAAGTTTAAAAATACCTTTGATTAGAAGAAATTGTAAACTTGTTTTAGCTACATCTTAATCCATCATTGGGAAGCTATACTGACTGGGTAAGCCTCCTTCACATACTGAATAAAACGTTTTTCTTTCCTCATGATCACTACACGTCATTTTTGCTTTGTACAGTGTGAAAACTGCATTCCAAATGAATCGATCAACATACTCCTTGTAAGTCACAGTCATATATTCCCTCTTTTTTAATCCGGAAAGTTCTACAGGTGGCTAATTATCTTTTTGTTTGTGGTTTATGAATTTTTACCACTGTTTCTTTCTACTTTCAGTGCAGCTCAGAAGAAGATATGTGAAGACCTATAAGGAGAAGGGAGATGACAAGATGAAATGACAAAAAAAACAAAAATTCGCCATTGAATTGTGTTGGTGAGGAAACCGCAACAAAGGCCTGCTGTCCTTCGGTGTTTACAGACTAGTAAGAAAGCTTTAAGTTATATGAGGACAGAAAAAGCTCTTCTCTTCTTTGAGACCCAATTAACAAGCAGCGCGGTAAAGTTTTCCGCGTTGTTGTTAACCTGAAAGTCTCACAATATCAACATAATAGTTGCGTTTACCTCTTTCGCAAATCGGACCTTCAAATCAAGCGGTACACAGACACCGATAACCTTTCTTAGTAAATCCGCTTTGACAAGTAGCATTGTTCTGACAAGGATTTTGAACGCAATTTCTCTGACAGAAGAAACAGACCGTTGTCATTGTTATTGTCATTATCATTATTATAATCATTTTTATCATCCAATAGTCAACCACTACCGTCATCAACATCGTCATCGTTATCCTTGTCATCATAGTTGTCCTTTTATTTCTATATTTCTCCAACAACTTTAAATGCTTTGTCTTTGAAGCGATTTTGGTGAAGAGCACAGACACAATATTACTGCTGTCTTGAAAGAGTGTAAACAACTCAAGTTCGTAATTTGAGATGAACATGAGACTAAGCGTTTTTAAAAGAAAAACAAAATATACCAATCTGAATCTTAAATTGAAAGTAATATTTACCTCAGCTGCGTGATAAGAATACATTTCTTGGTCTATCAACTTTTCTTCGTGTCCTTCATGAGTAGCATTGTTCAGTTCATATTTATAGTTTCCATATCTATCTGCCCGTGTATAAAGATTAATGCTGACGCAGTCGGGCTCCATATAACACAAGTTTTCACAGAACCTGGAAACTGTTATTTCCACGGTGCGAATTGTGTGGTTTATGAGGCGTTTCCCGTCAAATGCTTTCTCAGGCCCGAACTCCAAAGCGAAAAAATCATACGATACTTGAACGATTTGACACACTGCAGCAACTATAAAGTTTAATGAACTGTGAATTAACTACAATGTTCTAAATATTTTTAGGAAATTACGCTGAAAAACGGGCACTACATGTAATAAAACATCAATCTGTAACCAATAGAATCCGAGTCTATTTTAAGGTTTTCCACTCTTTTAATAGCTACAAAAGTACACAAGATCAATCAGTTCAGTATTCAAAGATGTGGATTTTAACTGTTCCATGTTCCAAGAGAAAGACATTGTCACTGGTAGAAAATTTTGAGCTCGATGATCACTTAATGCCAATGAATATTCGAATCGTTTTAGTCATTTCTAGTCTAAAACAATGTAGTTTTTAGGAGAACAAGAACGATGGCTTTCGAGGGACCACTGCTGTTTCTGTTGCATAAAAGCTAAGTGGCAGTTAATCACAATTCAATCTTTTTTTCGGAAATATTTTAAAACTTTGTTTGATATAGCTGAGCTCGTTAATATTTCATTAGAAAACGACTTAAATATCCTTGTATATTGAAGTATACGAGATTTGGGGATGTCTACATATCTCTTTAATAGTTTAAATTTGTAGTTACTGTATATTTAGGGCTTTTTCACGACCGTTTGCCTGGACTGTTTTGTCGGAATAAAATGTCTCCAAGGTGAAACAAGTGTGGTTTACGGACTTAAAACAACAGTGTAGTTTTATTGCACCAATATGTACCCCATGGCTTTGATACTCTTACGTCCATTATCTGAGTTTGTTTCGATTGCCTCGTTTCCACAAGATTTTGCGTCATTAGGGTAACTTCCTGTACCAAATCCAATCAAAGAGTCGCACTTGCCGCAGTTGTTCTGCCCATTGCTAATAATGCCAATTCTGACTTTAGAATGATCACTTTGACCACTAAAGGCATTGAATCCTTCTTTGTTGCATTTGTGCTGTAAAGAGGCGTCGCTGCCAATCAACTTTTTCCACTCGTCACGACCCAGCGACGTGTCTCGGTATTGGCCATCAGCAATTATTGAGTGAAGAGAGTCAGCCAGCTTGTTGATAACAATAAATCTGAACTGTTGGTTGATCTTCATTCCAAGACAGATCTTGGAGAAGGATATGTTCCAGTAGGTGGGTAGCTTTGATTCTTGTTCGTCAAACCCAGTCTCTCCACCGAGAAGATTGAATTCATCGTAATTACTCCAATAATCTGCATGATAACGGAAGGTGGTCTGAAATAGAGAAGGAATTAATTTTTTAATTTTTTTTCTCCGAATTGATGGGTTTTCTGCTGTCGACCTCCTGTGGTGTATCTGCTTTTAACCGAATTATTATCTCGAAGGTTTATTTTTCTTATCTAGCTGTTACATGATACCAGAGACAAATATTTAAAGATAGTTAAGCCATTTTTTTTCAGTCACTAAACACAAGTCTTAAAATTTACGTTGAACAACGTCTGTTCTTCGTGCATTACCTTCTCGATGAAAAACAAAAGGCATACATGTGGACAGGCACGTTTTTCAACTTGAAAAGTTTTAAAGAGGGCGAGTTTATGCACCAGATGAATTATTTAATGAAAGTACGCACCTCTCTGCCGTTAATTTTCATGACTGGCGTCCATCCTCCATCTCCACACCCAAAATTTCCCATGTGACAAAAAACGGACAATGGTTGGGAGTCAACAAGAAGGGTAACCACACCACTCACATTGGATCTTTTGAATCAAAAGGAAAAATGAAAATGAAAATGACAATAGGAAAGTTACTGAGCGACAATAATAATAATTCGACAAATAAGCAGACGAAAAGTTGAGCCTTCAGACGTCAATATCTGTGGAATATAAACAACAGCCTTTATAACAACAATGCTTAGTTATTTGTCCTGGAATCAAATAGATGTCCCAGGGCAAATGTTATTTTTCTCTTCTTCTGTGAGGACAGTAATGCACCCCTTTTAAATGAACCAAGGTTTAAAGGACGACTCTCTTTGTATATGGAATGTGGTTTGAAAATTGGTCTGTATTCGGTGACGTGATGGACTTAAACTAATTGCGGGCAAGCGGAACATTTGATGTACCATGAAAATAATATCGAAAATTAATTCTACTTACATGTCATGAATTTCTTTACACGAGGAACCTCCTGGAACGAATTTAAAAATACCTTTGATTAGAAGAAATTGTAAATTTGTTTTAGCTTCATCTTAATCCATCATTGGGAAACCATATTGACTGCAATCTAACTGATTGACAAAATAATTTTATCATGTTCTAAGCTCTGCTTTGTAGCTGAAAAGAGTTCTCAGTTTCATTTACTTTGTTTGGCAGCATGCATGTTTTCTTCAAATACATCATTGATAAAAAACGACGTCAGGGGAGGATCCATTGTTGTTATCTTAATAAAACAGTAAATATTTTTATCCAGTTTTTTAAACTTTCTACTTTATTTGAAGGCTTACCAAGTTTATTAACAGTTGTCTCTGAAAAATAATTAATTATTTCGAAAAAGATCAAAAACTCATGATTGGGCATTTAGTTTCCACACTAATAATATTAACGGTTTAAGCTGCAACAGATGCCAGCTCGAATTTTGTGATTTTACCCGAAGAGTACGTTCAAACGATTAAGAATCATCGACGGATGTGTTTCAAAGGTACTTACCAACTGAAAAAAAAGGAGATGAAGAAAAAAAATAAGCCATTTGTGGATGAGGTTGAGTACGATATCTTGAATTAGCAAAAGCGAGATCTGAGTTGTCTTCTGAAGCCAAAGGACGAAGGAGATCACGCAGACACATACAAAAGGTTTAATATATATCGTGATTTCATGCGAAAATTGAATTCAATAATTTCCTATTACATAGATTTTTCAAAAATTTGAGTTGCAAACGTTTTAAAACACTACACGGACGTCTTTCTACTTAGAAACTAAGTAGATTTTGAGCTCGAAATGGTAAGTGCAATATCCGTTACGGATATTGGGTTATTGTGTCAAGTGCACACGCTATACAATATTTATTGGTCACTATCAACCCATCTGATATTTTATAATAAGTCTAATGTATACTAATAGTGGTTATCCTATACCTTTGGTAGCCTTAAATAATATAATAATGGTGACAAGATTCTTAAATTTGCGCTGCAATGTTTGCTTTGTGGCACCTGCTTATCTTCAAATAGTTTATAAAGGTCTCAATGCCTAGTGGAAGGGCAGTGCTACCGTTAATGTAGCAAAATTCTTACTTATACTTTTCACTAGCTGATTTTCCTCTATATTTCGACCCCAACGTTTACCTTTACATTCTCGTCCATTTCCAGTAAGTCCATGTTTACATGTACAATTGTATGCCCCTTTGGTGTTATTGCAAAATGCATGACGACTGCAGGTGTGTAACATTTCAAGACACTCGTTGATATCTTCAAATTAAATGATAAAAATGATTGACAAAAATAGACAGACGAATAAATGAACAAAGAATAGCAGCAGATATTGATGTCTGAACAAAAAAAAAATTAACAAATAGATGAAAACAAAATTATCGTACCAAAAAAAAACAAAAACAGAAAAAAAAAAGCATAGAAGCACCAACAACTGTGGAAACCACAATAAATGCGTAGGCCTCCTTCACATACTGTTCCTGGTTTGGTAAACGTAGTTTTAGTTTTCTCATGATTACTACACAATTTTTTCAAAATGAATCGATCAACAGCCGCCTTGAAGGTCATAAGCAGTACTGATCAGCTTCGAAACATTCATATCTTCCTTGTGTAAAATTGCAAAAGTGCAAATGTAAGCTTTATCTTCTCATTGCATAATTGCTAATAAATCCAACGCTGACCTTTACATTCTCGTCCATTTCCCGTGAATCCATTTTTGCATGTGCAATTGTATGAACCTTTGGTATTGTTGCAAAACGCATCAGGGCTGCATCTGTGTATCCCACGAACACATTCGTTGATGTCTGAACCAAAAAAAAACAACAAATAAATGAAAACAAAATTATCGTACCAAAAAAAAAAGCAAAAAAAAAAAAGCATAGAAGCACCAACAACTGTGAAAACCACAATAAATGCGTAGGCCTCCTTCACATACTGTTCCTGGTATGGTAAACGTAGTTTTAGTTTTCTCATGATTACTACACAATTTTTTTTAAAATGAATCGATCAACAGCCGCCTTGAAGGTCATAAGCAGTACTGATGAGCTGCGAAACATTCATATCTTCCTTGTGTAAAATTGCAAAAGTGCAAATGTAAGCTTTATCTTCTCATTGCATAATTGCTAATAAATCCAACGCTGACCTTTACATTCTCGTCCATTTCCCGTGAATCCATTTTTGCATGTGCAATTGTATGAACCTTTGGTATTGTTGCAAAACGCATCAGGGCTGCATTTGTGTATCCCACGAACGCATTCGTTGATGTCTGAACAAAAAAATATACTTAAAAAATAAATGAAAAAAAATTATCGTACCAAAAAAAAAGCAAAAAAAAAAGCATAGAAGCACCAACAACTGTGAAAACCACAATAAATGCGTAGGCCTCCTTCACATACTGTTCCTGGTTTGGTAAACATAGTTTTAGTTTTCTCATGATTACTACACAATTTTTTCCAAATGAATCGATCAACAGCCGCCTTGAAGGTCATAAGCAGTACTGATCAGCTGCGAAACATTCATATCTTCCTTGTGTAAAATTGCAAAAGTGCAAATGTAAGCTTTATCTTCTCATTGCATAATTGCTAATAAATCCAACGCTGACCTTTACATTCTCGTCCATTTCCCGCGAATCCATTTTTGCATGTGCAATTGTATGAACCTTTGGTATTGTTGCAAAACGCATCAGGGCTGCATTTGTGTATCCCACGAACGCATTCGTTGATGTCTGAACAAAAAGAAAATTAACAAATAAATGAAAACAAAACTATCGTACCAAAAAAAAACAAAAAAAAAGCATAGAAGCACCAACAACTGTGAAAACCACAATAAATGCGTAGGCCTCCTTCACATACTGTTCCTGGTTTGGTAAACGTAGTTTTAGTTTTCTCATGATTACTACACAATTTTTTCAAAATAATTCGATCAACAGCCGCCTTGAAGGTCATAAGCAGTACTGATCAGCTGCGAAACATTCATATCTTCCTTGTGTAAAATTGCAAAAGTGCAAATGTAAGCTTTATCTTCTCATTGCATAATTGCTAATAAATCCAACGCTGACCTTTACATTCTCGTCCATTTCCCGTGAATCCATTTTTGCATGTGCAATTGTATGAACCTTTGGTACTGTTGCAAAACGCATCAGGGCTGCATTTGTGTATCCCACGAACACATTCGTTGATGTCTGAACAAAAAAAAAAACTTAACAAATAAATGAAAACAAAATTATCGTACCAAAAAAAAAAGCGGAATTTTTATTTCAATGCGGAAAGTTCCGCAGGTGGCTTATTACCTTATTGCTTGTGGTTAATGCACTTTATCACTGTTTCTTTCCACTTTCAGTGCAGCTCAGAAGATACGAGAAGACGAATAAGGAGAAGGGAGATGACCAGAAGAAATGACCAAAAACGAAAATTTCGTTATTGAGTTGTGTTGGTGAAGAAACCGTGACAAAGGCTTGCTGTCCTTCGGTTTTTACTGACTAGTAAGAACGGTTTAAGCTACATGGGGAAAGGAAAAGCTCTTTTATTCTATGAGACCCAATTAACAAGCAGCGCGCTAAAGGTTTTCCTCGTTGTTGTTAACCTGAAGGTCTCAAGATATCAACATAAAAGCTGTGTTTACCTCTTTGGCAAATCGGACCCTCAAATCCAGCGGTACACAGACACCGATAACCTTTCTTAGTAAATCCGCTTTGACAAGTGGCATTGTTTTTACAAGGATTTTGGACACAATTGCTCTGACAGAAGAAACAAACCGTTGTCATTGTCATTATCATTATCATCATTATAATCATTTTCATCCTCTACTAGACCACTACGGTTATCAATATCGTTATCGTTATCCTTGTTATCAGAGTTGTCCTTCTATTTCTAAATTTTTCCAATAACTTTAAATGCTTTGTCTTTGAGGAGATTTTGGTGAAGAGCACAGAGGAAATATTACCGCTAATGTCTTGAAAGAGTAAAAACAACTCAAGTTCGCAATTAAAGGTGAACACGAGACTTAGAGTTCTTAAAAGAAAAACAAAATAAACCAATCTGACTCTTAAATTGAAAGTTACATTTACCTCAGCTGCGTGATAAAAATACATCTCTTGGTCTATCAACTTTTCTTCGTGTCCTTCATGAGTAGCATTGTTCAGTTCACATTGATAGTTTCCATTTCCATCTCCCCGTGTATAAAGATTAATGCTGACACAGTCGGGCACCATATAACACAAGTTTTCGCAGAACCCGGAAACTGTAATTTCCACGGTGCGAATTGTGTGGTTTATGAGGCGTTTCCCGTCAAATGCTTTCTCAGGCCCAAACTCCAAATTGCGACACTGGTCTGCGATGCAGACGTCTTTGAAATGGCAATTATAATACATTATACGTAACGTTATTGCTTATGATGATATGTTTAGAATTTCGGAAAACTTGGTAGGTGACATTTCATCATCAATTGTGTTAGACTTGAATTTTTTTCTTCGTCTATTTTATTTCTACAAGAAAAGGGATATACAAACCCTCGACAGTGTCTCAGGTGTTATTATGAGAGTATGTAAACACGGCAAAAATTCCCTATTATTAAATTGAAAATGATTTCATTTCTGTTTCGCCTGTTTCAAGGGCTGTTTTAAAGGCTTCGGAAAGACGGCAATCTCTGAACAGTTTGGGTCAATGGAGGAAGACGACTAAGGGGGTTCAAATTCCTCGGCAGAAGTTTTGTTATCGATTTTGTAATCGTCTGTGTTTCGCTTTGTAGAATTCTTACTAAATTAATACACTTACGTACACGAAAATGTCATACTTCTTCAAAGTACTATCTGTGCGTTGATAACTGAATATTTTAACGACAATTCTTCAGTTAATATAGGTGGAAAAAGCTAATTTTCTGACTTAATGACAAATTGTCATAATTGAATAAAACGTTTCCCCCCCAAAAAAACGAATACTCGAACCAAAGGTAAACATGGATTGGATATAAGTCATACTGAAACTAACCTTGTGATCTGACAGCCCTTTGTATCATAAAGCAGAGCTCCAATAAGAAAAGGGAGACAAAAACAGAATACATGATACAGATAACGATTAGAAAACTTCTAGCCCCTTAAACATATGCTTGAGAAACGAATTCTTTACTTAATATTACTCATCATGACAGGGGAAGTTTGAAACAATGAAAATTAGGCTGACGCCGGTTAAACCAATGGCAGTCAAATTATTTCGTATGTCAGCTGTTCTGCCTTAGTTTCTACCAGTACAAATGTTTGTTTAGAATGCTGTTCGGTTCAGCAATAATTTGCCTGTCAATTGCCATAATTAAGTTTTGTCACATCATTCTGTAGCCTGACATGCTATCATGAATAATTGATAAATAACAGTTGAAATTATGCAGCCGTGTAACACGTCAGCAAATTCACCTCCTCGACAACTTTCATATCCATACTGTCGTCCCATTTTAGGAATGATAAATGAAATTTGTTAAATGATAAGCGCACTGATATTTAAACCGTTTGTGCTGAATTAGGGTAAATTGGACCTGAAAGAATTGTTTTAGGTCACACAATGTTCCCACAACTTTATATTCATAACATAGTCGAGCAGACGTTTAGACTGGTGAAGCTCCCAAAATTTCTGTGTCATAATGTAATTGACTAAATTGGTTCGTCGTTGAAAATGCGCGCGTTAAAGAAATGGATAGATGTAAACCTAGTTTTTGAAAACGAAGAATTCATTTGATGTTTTCCTGGGTTATCGTTTTTACACATGTACAACAGCTGGCATTGTGAAACTTTGCCAAATTATTATGCAACCACTGTTTATTTTGGTGGTGGTAAGAACTTCCTGTGTGTCATGATATTCGTGATGGAAAAGTTTTGATTATCATGGAACCTTGTTACAAGCTAAGTTAGCCAATTCACCTCTGCGACACCTCACATGTCCATATTTCTGTGAATATTTCCGTCTTGCCCTTTTTTTCGCTAAAAGACTTGTACAACAGTTGGGATTATGAGGCTTTGTTAAATTAACATAACGATGTTTATTTTGGTTCTCTGGTAAGAACTTCCTGTGAATCATGTTCCTTCTCCATGATTTATCGCTCCGGTTTAGCAGTAAAGGCTTCATATTAGAGGCAATAAATCAGTAGAAATTGATTTTCACAACTTCAAATTAGCTTTGTTATCTACACAAGTTTCAAACTTTTCACTTGATGTACACTGACACTCGGCATGACTTCCTATCCTCTTTCATTGCAGACGTTATCGAAAACTGGAATGATGTTGTAGTAAAAGTTGCTGACTTTTTTTTGTAATTGTTATCGATATTTTTATCATTATTGTTTGTTATCATTTTAGGCTCAAGAGGGAGAAGTCCTCCTTCGTAAGCACTTAGCTGTTTTTTTTATCCATTTAATAATCGAAACAAGCACCTCTGTCTGACTCTACAAGCAAAAGTTCACTTATCGATAAGAAGCTCTAACGAACGAATTTGATTAAGTAAGTCCATTATATTCCGATTTTGTAACGAGTAGGAAAATAAAAAAAGAAATGAAAAGGTGGGTTTTCAATTATCATAGAGTTTCATAGGAAATCAAAATGTGTTATTGTTTATGGGAAGTTATTTCAGCATCGTGGTGGCGCACACGTTAAAAATGACCGTACAAAAATATTGAACGATTATTTCTCCGCAAATTGTGTTGTGTTTATATGATAAACAAAATAGTAAATGGATGCTTTTAGATATGGAATTTCTCTTCTTGTGTTCAACTCGACATCTCACTCGTGAGCTATCGAGTTAAACACTCTATTTATCGCTTATTGTCACGAAGTTACGGAGGTACCCTTCTTTATTCTTAACTGTCTTTAATCCTAAGCACGCTTCCTCCAACTTTCCTCTTAATTGCCTCGTACATAATGATTGTAAGTAGGAATCTTTGATGAGGGTGAGCGCACATTTGATAAGTTTATGTTGTGCGTCGTCCAATTTTTATTTTACCAAACAGCTTTCATGCAGTAGGTGTCTTCACAATGACATCTCTATGCTTTAAAAAAATGCAGATAATTTCCGATGAAAGCAAGAAAATAAACATTGAGATCTACAGAATATTCTGAAATTGTTATCTAGCAGACAGCATGGGAAACGCTTTTGAATAATTCCTACGAAGAGCCTTCGAGTCACGCCACAGATGTTAGTTCGGCGGAGTTCTGCATGGAAATGTTCGATGACGGTAAGTGACAACGACAACACTATTTTAATTTTATTTTCGGAATAGTAATACAGTTTTCATTTTGATAGAGCTATTGATATTTCCTTTCATGCGAGAGCGCAGAATTTCTCGTCTGTAAAAGCCGAAGTTGTCGTACACTGGAGCTTGTAATAATGTCACCCAACACTCAGCGTGCGACATTCAAATCTCCTACAATGAGTAAATATAATGATAAACAATCAAACGATAGACTACTAAATGTTTTGTGCCGTACAAAAGCCGTATTTGCTGATTTTAGCAAATCTCCAAAGTAATAAACGACAGAAGAAAGAATCGCTGTGATTTTCCAATCAACATTTCGCCTACATACATATCTCTAAACGTGAAATTTTCCATTCCTACAAAAAAGTCTCCAAAGTTTTTCTCATTTCTTCGATTTCTTGATCAATCATCTTGTATAACGAGCTATAAAATGCGGGTTTCTTTGGTCAAGTGACCGCCTAGAGCCAGAATTGCGTTACAGGTGCAGTTGAGAGAAGCTTGTCACAGTAGCAGATTTTAAAAGGCATAAAAGACAAAAATGCGATGGTACCCAAAGATTTTTTTGATGGTATTCAGAGACGAAACGATGGATTATAAAGGAGAATTCAAAATTGGTGTTGCAGCTTTCTGGCAAGGGGAGATATTTGACCTCAAAGTTGTCAAGTTGGATGAATCGCAAAGTCTTAAAACACCGTCATTTATTTTCTTCTGTTGATTGACAAGCCGTCGATCAAATTGGCTGATACTTGCGTTGGACATTAACTAAGGATGTAATAATATGTATGCAATATGTAAATGGTGAAATATGCATGGTGAACACCAAGAAAAACCGGGGGGGGGGTGGTCTATCTCCTCCCGGAGATAGATAGTGTCGTAACGAGACACTAACTAACTAACGGGACACGAGACGTAGTAGCACTTCTTGAGTGTTCTAGCCGCTTCCTAAGTGCTTTACAACAGAACAGAGCACAGTCAATGCTTCTCTATTTGTTTTATAGTAAAGAATCCGTTAAATTACCCATGCATTACAATCAATTTTCAAAACGAAGTTTATTTCAAAAGCGAACAGCATTGTCGTCAGCATGCTCTCCACTCCCATAAGGCACGCTACAATAAGCCAGAATCTGCAAGTGAAGTGTTCAGTGAAATCCGGCCGAATTTTGGCTCATAAAAACATGCTAGTTTTTTCACATGACAAACAAACTGCTCGAGGCATGTGTGATGTGAATGAACGACAGTCGAATCCACAGCAACATGAAGATTGGTCGGTATCACAGCGCCGTAAAACTCGTCCGCTGTGACTGATGTGGCCTTCCACTTAACGAATCGGAAAGGATATCAGAGGAAGCTCTTAGCTGTTCACTAGGAGGGCGGCCGACGAACCGGGTGTGGGTGTGTGTGAACGTAACTCGAGTTGGAAAAATCACTTTGCAAGACCTGTTAGATTGCACATTTTAATGTTTAAAAAATGCTATATGCCTTTTAATTAACATGGCCGCCTTCAAAGGAGCAGATGGAAAGCTATGGTGTGAATTGTTGTCTTCTGATAAGTACAGAGACTCCGCGAACCACAAAGGAAACACAAGGTCGCTTCATTTGTTTATTCAGGTAGGCACTTATTTATGAAACACTAAAACAGCTTGTAGTTTCATGCAACTAATTTAAAAAATTCAATTGTTTTACCGATCAATTTTTTTTTCATTTAAGTCTCCTTGTTCTTCTTCGCCATGTCAAAATGGAGGAACCTGTATCCCGAGTTTCAAATACAATTCTTGCGACTGTCTCTGTGAGCAAAGTTTCGCGGGAGAATATTGCAAGAAAGGTAATTCATATGTCAGAATCTTTCTTGCATATTCAAGGTAAAAGTACGGGCAACGTTGTTTGAAGCAAGATTTAACTCCTTTGGACACATTCTAAAGGAAAAGTCTAGACGCATATTCGATCGGTAGGGAGCGAGAAGAGGAAGGCTGGTATTTTAGCAGCAGAGAAATATCTCTACACTAGGAAGCACAAAAACCCGTCGATTTTTATACTGGGTTGAATTGACTTATTACATTAAATTAATCAAATGGGTCTTTTTGATAGATCTGATGTCAGCAAACTGATTACCCTCCGTTTGGACTCCAAACCAGTCTCCGTCCTCTGCCACATGGGAGATTTTGGGTGTGGAGATGGAGGGTGGACGCCGGTTATGAAGATCATGAGGGGACGCAAGTGGCCTCAACTGTAAGTACTTTTTAGAAATGCTATGATATTATCCTAGCATTCCTAACATTCCGAGTAGCACGAGAGTGTCAAAATCCATGTGTATGTCAGAAATGTCACTAGACCTAAAGTACCCCAGATGAGGGCGAATAAATATGAAAAGATAAATGAATTAATGCCTGATCTCAAAATGCCATCAGCTAATGCTTTTGTTTCACACGTAATCAATAGTGCCTTTATTCCTTGGCCGGTTCCTTTGTGTTACATTGTAGATTATAAAGAGAAATATATCCACACGATTTATTAGCCCTCATCTGGCGTAGTTTAGGTCTAGTGACATTTCTGTGACATACGCACAGATTTTGACACTCTTGCGCAGCTCGGAATGTTAGGAATGCTAGGATAATATCTTAGCATTTCTAAAAAGTACTTACAGTTGAGGCCGCTTGCGTCCCCTCATGGATGGCACTAAGGTACCTTTTATTACGTTCTGGTTTCTTTAATTTTTTTTTTCGTCTCTGATTGGCTGAAAACAAGCCAAGCATTTTTCGTGTAACACAAGTGCAAAGTTGTAACACGAGTGCAAATTACGAATAGCGCGCG